GGCGGTCCATGGCGATGAGAAATGGAACAACAAGCTGGGGCCTCCGCCCAGTAGTAAGCGGAACGATGTGTCTTTTGGCAGTGTGCGCGGAACAGGAACCCAGGGAGGCCTGTGGGAGGGTTGCCCCCCTGCAACCTGGTTGGTCACTGAACCGCCTCGAGGGGCCAAAATGGTTGCGGTCGAGGAATTTCTCTTAGGGACCGCGCTCGGCCTCGCGACGGCGCAGCAGTTTGATTTTGGGCGCCGACTTCCAGAACGACAGCTCCGACCAAATTCCTGACTTCAACGAGGACATCACCACCCAATACGCAGACAGCAACGACATGACCATGCTCTTCCAGATCCCGTTCTCCATGCGCAGCCCATGGCGTCGGCTACGACCTCATGTTGCACAACTACCGCCCTCTCGATTTTGGCCAGCGATGAAAACCCTGGCGGGCGGGTGGGCCACATCACATCGTCTCCATGTACAACCAGTTCGCCGCAGCTGCATCTTCGGCTGTGCCCCCGCGCACAACCCAAACGCGTTCACCCACTACCTGATCTGCAAGCACATGTGGCATCATTTATCTCTGCCACGTGGTCGCCTTCATAAATGTGTTCTCGCCCAACTGGGGCTTCATGGCATCAATTTCGCCGTCGACGGCGACGCGGACAACCACATCGACCACGTGCTGGCGCGGCTGGCCATCGCATACCGCGTCTACCACAACATCCGGGACATGATCTCCCTCGGCACCGCCGTGGACTCGATCGACTACCACGCCCACATCAACGTGGTGAAGGCCGCGCGCTTCGCTCTGAGGCTCGGCCCGAGCCCGTTCGGCGGCGCAACCGTGCGCGGCCACGCATGAAGCTCCTCACCCAGTGGTGCACGGACTCGGTGAGCGTCTCGAGTTCGTCGAAGGCGCCGCGCCTGTCTCTGTCCGTATCATCGGGAGTAACAGGAAGATAAAGAAATATCGGCGGAGGGCGATGGTGACTTGCTGAATCTTGCGGAGCAGACTGCGGGGCAGTAGGTGACGTCGGGAACAGGCCTTGATCCTCTTGGCGAGCGTCAGATCGAAGTTGTCGTCGTAGAGATGGCGCTGGAGCGTGAGCGAGTAGATGGATTGCGGCGACTTACGCTTGTGAACGGGATCCGCATCATCACGAGGCTTGCGGGCAGCAGCGCGGGCAAGGTCATGGGCACGGCGCAGATGGTGATGAGCTTGCTGTTCGTTCTGCAGTTTGCGGAGCATGACCTTGAAGATAGAGCCCTTGAGCATCGGGTAGTTGGCTCCGATCTCTGCGACGGCCAGGTTCTGAGCGATCGAGGCGGGAGCGGCCCAGCATTTGGCGTTCCAAGGTTACGGAGGAGGAGGAGGAGGAGGAGGAGGAGGAGGAGGAAATGGAGGATGGCCCAGACAACGCAAGAGGCGGAGGGAGGGGCTGGAGGAGAACTCCATGCTTACAAGAAAACACGTCAGATCGCTTCCGACACGCCGCATTCATCTCCAGTCCGCACATCGCCTGGGAGCTGCTGGCTCCGATCTCGGATGAGGCGGGGGGGACCTGAGCGGGGAGGCAGCGGGCGAGAGAGCAGGGCTGCGCGCGGACGGCCCCCAGAGATGGCCCCGGGAGGCTCCAACAAGCCGACTGGGGCAGCCTTGGAAAAACCTAAAAGTACCGATGCCGCTACTCCCCGGACCTCTCCCGGGGTGCGTTCTGACCAGAACTTCGAGGCGAATCCAGCGGTGGCGACGAGGGCCTCCCAGGAGGCCCAGAAAGAAACGCGGAGCGAAGTCGGTATCTTTTCCTCCACTGAAGCCTGGGGCGATCCCCCCACCTCAGCGCCGCCTCCAGCGGCGCTGGCCAGTGCACGGGCCGCCCCGAGGTTGGGGTTGAGGTGTTGCGACCGCCGCGGGCTGAACTTCCGAATGCGGCCAGGCACACCTCTGAGGGTATGTCTGGACGCACTCCCGGGCCCTGCGCAGGCCAGAGGGAGAAAGGCGAGCGCAGGGCAGGTTGCTTCTGTTCCTCCCCCCCCCCGGGGGGAGGGGGGAGAGGGGGGGGGAGAGGGGTGAGGATGGAGGGGTGGACACGCGCCGCACGAAGCCCGGCAACTTCGATCTGCCCCCTCCCCGCCCTAGGAAGAAGCCGGTGGCCGGCAGCAAGATGGCGCGCCCCCGCTCGTCCATCCGGTTGTAAAAGAACAGCTGCAGCAGGCCGCAGAGGAACCCCAGCAAGGCGCCTGTGCGCCCCTCTGCCCCTCGAGGCACGGCGGGTGGCGGCACCACAGGCCACGGATGGTCGAAACTAAGGGGCAAGCGGGCTAGCCAAAATGCTGCATCCTGGCACTGGACGCCTGTATCGCCCATCACTCCAGCAGGCATCGTTAACCAAGATGCTGCATCCTGGCGCTGGACGCCTGTGTCGCCCATTACTCCAGCAGGTATCCTGCTCGTGTGCTCATCTGGGCCCATCACCAACAGCGCATGAGAGCATCAGAGGGTGCCTTCCTCTTTGCAGCTCCATCGCAGCTTGCGATCATCAGTAATGTTTCGTGTTCCATCGTGTGCGATCGTAGGATGCGCCCACTTCCCGCTGCGAATGTTACGAACATTGCTGGCAATCAGACGCGTACGCATTAACGTGCTTGGTCCGATCCACATGCACCGTTTCCTAGATCATGTGCCCTGACATCTCGATAAAACGCACGCTTCCAACATGGTAGCGCATAGTGCATACGTACTGAATGAGCTCTGGCCCCCATGCCCTCCGAACGACTCGATAAACTTGAATTCTTGCTCGCCCAACGTCAGAAAGAACCGGTTCAACGTCTCCTTGTTTTCTGTGAAGACCTTGACGATCATACCGTCGTTGTCAATACCAATATCTGGATCACATAGTAAGTCCTTCACACGAAATGAGTATGCAATGATACTCTAGAGCCCGTCTGGAAATCCTCAAGTCGCAAACAGATACGGCGATACCAGTAGATCATCGATGCAAACATTCCTAGCAGCTACAGCATCCATGGAACGGGCGGACTGAATGACGCACGCACATACGCCCTCTCTTTCACGCACACCGGCGCGTCCTAGAATAACCGTGGCACACGATGTAGCGGCACAACCGCTGGCGAACCACATCGATGTCCCCCAAGCTTGCAACACTCCAAGGCCTGCGAAAGACAGCATGGATTGTTCCCAGCTTTCCTGCATTATTAGGTAATTGCTTTGAATCAGCAGCGCCGCACGTCTCACCTCACTCCTCCCGCTCCTTCTGCTTCTCCTCCTCCTCCTCCTCCTCCTCCTCCTCCTCCTCTCCTCCTCCTCCTCTCCTCCTCCTCCTCTCCTCCTCCTCCTCCTCCTCGTTCTCCTCCTCATCGTTCTCATCATTCTTCTCCTCCTCCTACTCCTCCCCTCCTCCTCCTCTCCCTGCCCCTTCCCTGCGTCCACATGCCTATTCCAGCACACCCTACACGCGGATCGTGCCCCTGTGGGGAGCTCAACCTACGTCTTCAGTGAGAGCCATGGCATGCCGCCCCGCGCCTATGTCGGCATACCCCTCATACGCTGGGTGCTCCCGTCGAGAACTTCACCTACGCCCAGTAAGAATGCTCGCATGCCGCCCACGCGCCTGGTTCGGCAAACCCTTGGCCCGATTCGTGCCCCCAAAGGATCTCTACCGACGGCCCCAGTGCGGTGACCAAATGCCGCCCCGCGGCCATTTCGGCACACCCCTCACAAACCTTATGCCCCCGTGGGGAGCTCCACGCAGGGCCCCAGTGAGGGTGCTCGCAAGCGTCCCCGCTTCCCTTGACACTCCTCACGCAGATCCCTCCCCACTGGGAGCTCCACCTATGGCTCCAGTCCGCGGCGCGAAAGATATGAGGGGATGGTCGCCCAGGCCGTACCTCCTTCACGACCTCTTGACGTTATACGACGAAGCTAGAAGTCTTCCTAGGTTTACGGCAGGGCCTTTCTTGGCCACAGTTGCAATCAGAAACGTCAAACACAAAATGTGTCGTTACTTTCCGCTCCGAACCCTGCTACTCTGAATCCAACCTCGCAATGACCCAATGCGCCCCCAAACACGATGGCGGACCTCCGTTTCAGCGCGACCGGAGACATTATCAGATCGCGCAAACTTCGAAAATGGAGGTCACAATTGAATCGGCCTAACAACCGCAACTGGTTTGAATCCCCTGGAGCTCCGTGAACTGCTCCCACAAGTCACCGCAGTTCTCGTGGACCTTGACAAATGCGGCCTCCCAGCCCGCACATTCCAATGAGTCCGAAAAGAATGGGGGCTTGCTGATATATAATGTTTAGACGCGTGCGCATGTATGTGCTAGTCGTGCTGGGCGTCATATCGATCAGCATTCGAAGACAGCAAACAAACTGAGTTTGCAATGATGCTAGCCAGCGTGGGCCCCAAGCAGTAAGTAATTGCACTGCGGAGGTGGAAGCTGCGTGGTGTATGTAGGCTATGCGGTGCGAGCTATGGGGTGCAAGCTATGCTGCGTGGAAGACATGTTGTGTGAAATGTGTGGTGTGCGCTATGCGGTGTAAGCTATGGTGTGTAAACTACCCGGCGTGAGCTGTACTCAAATCGATGGTGTGCAAGCTATATGGCGAAACGTAAGTGTATAAGCTATACGGTGTGAGCCATGTGGTGTAAGCTAGGGTGTGCAAGCTAGGTGGTGCCAGTTGTTTGCGTAACATGTGTTGTGTAAGCTACGCGGTGTGAGCTACGCGGTGTGAGCTGTGCGGTGCGAGCTGTGCGGTGCAAGCCTTGTTGTGTAAACCAGTATGGGCGCCCGAGAGGCACCCACGAGCCGGCACGGGCACCAGCGCGGCGAAACCTCGGGATGTCCATCCAGATGGGGCGCCCACGAGCGGGCATGGACGCCAGCGCGGCGAAACCTCAACATACCCATCCAGTGAGGCGCCCACGAGCGGGCACGAGCTACGAATGGGCAGGGGCGCGGGCACGAGGCGCCAACGTAGCGAAAACCCGGCATACCCGCCCAATTACGGAAGTAACCGAAGTAAGAACCCCTAAAGGCAAACACTTGCTGGTGAAACGTGAGGGCATACCGACCTAAAGCGGTCTGGACTGCATTTGTATGTGCCCACTGGCCAGGCCGCAACCTTGTACCATCCACGACTCTGGAAATCATTCGCTCGCCAACCCTGGACCGTGGCATCATCACGCGCAAACTTACCCCAAGGCCGTCCGCAACGATAAAATCGCGTGGCGCGTACCTGCCTATCAGGGCGCGCCCCCGTAAAGATCTCGACTCCGACGGGCCTCCTTACCCAACCGCGCGGTTCATTCCTGCTGCCTCCACGCGCGTTTTCGTGCGCCGCGCCTGGTGCATCCCATCTCCCTGCAACGAGAGGCAGCAAGCCGAGGCAGAAGCGGGGGATAGCGCAAACACAGATTTCATGTCTGGATACGATCGGGTCTAGGCCCACTCCTTTGCAATTGCGCCTGGCACCAGGACGGCAGCAAAAAACCAGGAACACAACGCTTGGAAGCAAACGGAAAGCATGGCATTCATACTCCAGCCTCTCCCAGAGGAAACAGGGACGAAAGAGGTGCGCCCCCCCCCTCCTCCTTGTCGCCCTCTTCCTTAGCCATTCTCCCCATCCCCTATCCTCATCCCTATCCTCCTGCTCCTTCTCTTTGACGCTTGACGCTGTCGGCAGTTGCTTCCCCTCCTGTTGAACTGCGGCCAAAAGCAACCCTGCAGCCTACTACGCAAAATGCTCCAACGGAGGCCCGAAGACAGGAAACGCTGGAGAGGGCTACCATCTTGAGGCATCACCCTACATCGGCGCCGATTTCCAATACTTAACAATAGAAATACCCATAACCATACAGGAGGGGACCTAAGTTAGGGGAGCCGGACACATCAGGGATAATGGGGTTTCTTCGGCAGATGTATCCAGCCAAATCGTACATATTTAATACCCCTCATGCAAAAACGGTGACATAAGCGAAGCCACGTCGTCACTGTGTTATTAGTTATTAGGGCTACGGGTTCTATTATTCTCGATGGTGAAAGATTCCCTCAGTTCCTGAAGGCGCATCCCTAAGACTGCCACCGCCTTGGGCTTGCCAATGTTAGGGATGGGTTATATTCCGCCGCGCCCCCTGGAGCTGGGACACAAGCAAAACATAAAAGGGAAGCCCCGAGGGACACGCAAACTGTCAAAACCCAATCCCGACACGCGTCTCCAAAGCAATTTAACATGGTGTTTGCCCATGTCGAAATCACGGCGGCAACAATCGAAACCGACATCAACATTCCGTAAAAATCGTACAGTGCCCATATCGGGCGCACTTACTACCGAGGAAAATCGCAGCAGCACAAATCAGATAGTGACGACGGTTACCTTGAGCCGAAAATTCCTCTCTCATCCTCTCCTCGTTTCTCTTCATCCGCTTTTCCCCCCAATCCACGTCCCTCCCCACGCCGGCCGAGAGAAACACAGGGGGTCCCAAGAGGGTTCGAAGGCGGTTCCGGGGGGGAGCCGACTGGACTCTGAAAAATTTGAATGGCCTGGATGATGCCCCCCACGAACGCAAGACCGAGCGCTTTCATCCGACCCGTGCGTTTCTCTCCCGCGGCCGAGCCCTGGCGCGGCGGGAGGAAACGGTCAGCCTCGAACAAGCAAACGGTTGGCTGAGGAGCCGCGCCCAAGGGCGGGGAGGAACTGGGCGGGGAGCGGGTGGGACGGAAGAGGGGGATGGAAATCAAGCGCCAATCACTGAGGGCCCCGAAGGCCCCGCACGAGCTCGGATATGCATTCGACGACCAATGACATAGCAAACGGCCCGCTTTGGACTAGCGTCGGACGCCGTCGCCCCACCACGCTGACACCCCATGACGCGTGGCAACTTGAAAACTGTGGGGGGGGGGGAGCGGCTCGAGCGTTCAGGGATGCACGGGGTGCATTTTTCGAGGCAGCTGAGGGGGGAAGGGGGCGGGGGGGGGGGGCAAGCTAGGTACGCTCGCGTCATATCTGACATTCCACCCCTCCCTCCCATCCCTTACCATGGCGTAGATCCCCTCTCTACTCGCACAGTCGGATGTCGAGCAGGGACATGATCCCGAAAGGGTACGCGATGCATTGTAGAGCACGGCGTGGCATGGCGCAGAAGAGCACCGCAAAGCGTAGCATCAACCTAGCATTGCATTGCATTACATGCCGTGGCATGGCACTGGAAATGACGCCAGCGCTGCAGCGGGAGCACGAGTCGGAACGAGCGGAAGCACGGAAATGAGTCCAACGCTGCAGCGGGAGCGCGACTCGGAACGAGCGGAAGCACGGAAATGAGGCCAGCGCTGCAGCGGGAGCACGATTCGGAACGAGCGGGGCCCGAAAATGAGGCCGGCGCCTCAGCGAGAGCAGCATTTTGGAAACAAATGCAAGCGAAAACCCAACTCCGGGGAATCCTGTGTAAAAAACAGTACGCGGGGGGGGTAATACTTTCAAGCCGTCATCAGGGGAAGAGGGAGAGTAGTATTCATATTGAGTAATTGTGGAGGCGGGGGCGGCAGCTGAGGACCTAAGGAGGACGGGATGGGAAAGCAGGGCAGAGTATCATTGAATGAGAGGGAGGGGAGGAGCAACATAAATAATCTGACGACGGCGACGCTGGGGGAGGAGAAGGAAACTGTTTGGATTTGGCTGCGCTGCGACCTGCCGCGCGAGGCGCGATGCTCGATCCGCATCGGCGGCGCGCGCCTCCTGCCGCGCTGCGGCCCGCAGCCTAAGCGGCGGGCACCGACTGCGCCGGAGCGCGAGGCCGACCAGCTGTCCTGAGTCCTGGGTCCTGGGTGAAGCTGTCCTGGATGCCCTGTCCTGGATGTCTAGGGGGAGGGCGTCCTCTGAGCCCTCCTCCTCCTCCTCCTTTTCCTCCTCCCTCCTCCTCCCTCCTCCTCCCTCCTCCCCCCCCCCCTCCCTCCCTCCACCCTTCCTCCTCCTTTTCCTCCTCCTCCTCCTCCTCCTCCTCCTCCTCCTCCTCCGTGCCCGCCCTGGTCGGGCCAAACGCGAGGCGCCTCGCGGCCTAGACGCCGATGGTTCACTTGAACTGCATCGCATCGGCCGTCTTCTTGGCCAGCGAAGTCGGCTGGAGGGCCTCTGGCGTCATCCCGTGCTTGCTGAGCTCTGTCTGGGCCGCCATGGCAGCCTTCCGAAAGCTCACCTTGTCGAGCCCGTCGCAGAAAGCCTTGATCATTAGCGACGCACCCCGCGCGAGGATGCACTTGCGCGTGGTGTCCGAGCCGTCCTCGACGCGCTTCTCGTCGACCGCCACGTCGAACATCGTGGCCCACTTGCGAATGGCCGCCCCCCCCTGCGAGGGAAAAGGGTTGCAAGGCCCAGCCGCAACAAGAAGGGGGCCGCCCGGGGTAATGAGGGCGCGCGGGAGGAGCGGCAGCAGGTGCATGGGGGTGTCTGGGAGCGCGGCGGCCGACGGCGAGGAGGGGGCGGGGTCAGTGCGCCCCCATCCCCTCCCCCCATCATCGGCGCCTCGCAAACCCAGCCCCGCCCAGCCGACCCCCCTCCCGCTCCTGAACAGCAGGCGTGTGGAAACCCACTGCGGCACTGCACGGCGGCGTCGACCTTCTTGCGGAGGATGGCGCCGATGCCGTCCGCCAGCAGGGTGGCCTTGCCGACGGAGCGGGCATTCTCCCACTTCTCGCCCATGCCACCAGGCAGCCCGTCGATCCACCAAGCGCCGTTATTGGGGCCGCCCTGCTCGTTCCTCAGCCCCTGCACCGTCGCGGCCTAATGCGCGGCCAGCATCGCCTGAAGCCCGTGGGAAGCGACCTGGTTGATCAGCTCGCGCGTCTCGTCGCAGCGCACCTTCGCAACCATCTCGATGAACGCAGCCCCCTCGTGGTCCGGAAAGTTCACGGTAGAGATCTTCTCGAACGGCACTTTGGTCGATCCCTTCATAGCAACTCAGGTCTCGCCCTTGTGCGCGGACCCCAGGTTCACGCCAGCATCGGAGAAGTGCTTCGTCCTGAACTCGGCCACCAAGGCCACCAGTTCATTCCGCCGCCCCAGGGCGCCGAACACGCCCAGGTGGAGGCTGTGCGCTGGCAGGCGCTCAAGGGCAGCTGCAAGCGCGCCCGACGCCGCAGACCGCAGCGCCTCGCCATTCGGGTCGGTGTCCATCAGGATATGGACGCACCTGTCAACGACCTTCTTCAAATCACCGTTCGCGTCCTCGTCGTTGACGCTCATG